CAATATGTCATAAAAATGACATGTTACCCACAAAGACACCAAAATTCTTTGAATTTGCTTGTTTTTATGTAGTCGAAAACGAAGTTTTGGGGTTATATAGTTTTTGTGTATCCGTCCGTTTCATTAGCTGTCTATCTGTCTCTTTGACTTTCTGTCTGTCCATCTAATTGTCTTATTTTCAGCAAACACTTAAGCCTTGTCCATAACTTTTGATCTAGTGGAGCTATGACTTTCATATTTAATACATGTATGTGTATTCCTTGTGACAAGACCTTTCTTTGGGTACAACCAAATTTGATGCCTTGGAGTTTGACCCACTTTTACACAAAAATTCCAAACTTTTACTTTGGTCATATCTTTTGAACAGAAGTAACCAGGACATTTATACTTCACATATGTATTCTTTGTGATAAGACTTTTATTGGATATCTAAAAATTGACCTTTTGACCTCGATTTTGGAGATTTACATACTTAACCTTGGCAGTAACATTTGAACGGTTAGGGCTAGAGCTTTCGTACTTCACATATGTAATCCTTGTTAAAAGACCTTCATTGGATAATAATAACTTTGACCCTTTGACTTTGGAGTTTAACCTTCTTTGGAAAACAAATATTGACCATATCTTTTAAAGTCTTAGAGCTAGTGCTTTCATACTTATTTCATTTAATCCTTTTGACAAGCCCTTTCATTTGATAACAAAACCTTTGACCTTTTGACGTTGACCTTGGTGTTTCACCTACTTTTTAAAATTTTTTAACCTTGGTCATAACTATTGAAGGGTTAAGGTTATGACTTTCATACTTCACATATGTATTCTTTGTGACAAGATTGTTTATTGGATACCAATAACCTTAACCTTTTGACGTTGACCTTGAAGATTTCCGTACTTATGAAAAACTTTAACCTTGGCAATAAGTTTTGAATGGTGAGAGCTAGGGCTTTCAAACTATACATGTGTATTTTTTGTGGCAAGACCTTTATTGGATACCAATGACCTTGACTTTAGAGAATTCGGGGCTTATGAAAAAACATTGACATTGGCAATAGGTTTTGAATGGTAAGGACCAGGGCTTTCATATGCATACTTCACATATGTAATTCTTGTGACAAGACCTCTTATTAAATACCAATAACCTCGACCTTCTGACCTTGATCTTGTAGATTTCTCTAGGGCCTACTTTTGAAAAAAAAACTTTAACCTGACGATAACTTGGAAACAAATGGTTGATAGGGCTTTCATATTTCACAATTGTATTTCAAGTTAGGAGAATCTACTTTGAATACAAATATATAAAATGTGCATTGAAGAAAAGTTTCATCTTCACCATGATGCAATACGGGGGCATCAGTGTTTCACAAACACATCTTGTGTCTAAGTCATAATGCAAGGCGATTTGCGTCTGTTGAAATTCCCTTGTTGTATTAACGGTGAATGCAATGGTTAGGTGGATTCCCTGGCAAGAACAGGTTAATGCGAATATGTAAAAAATGTTTTGTCCATTTAAATAGAGATGTTTCTGAATATGAATCGAATCCGAATCTGAAAATGAATCTGACACGAATCTGAATCGGAGAGATTCCGATCCCGATTTGAAAATAGATATAACTCTAAATTATACACTGAGAGTATGATTACTGATGTTTTGTCTTTGATATATCAATTAATACTTGTAACATGTATAAAACATTAATTAATGTGTGTGTAGCCCCTCCGCATCCCCCCATCAACAAATATCCTGCAAGAAATAGGTATATGGTTTTATTTGTATTACTATATGAATGTTACAAATTAATTTAAAATAAGAGTTTACCATGTTCGCTAGATTTCTTTTTTTCTCGTGGGCTAAGGAGTGTACTACTAGTATTTGAAATGTCAACGGCAAATCAGGGATTTTGCTAAGGAAGGCGACGAAGGGGGGGGGGGGGGGGCAAATCAATAAACTCCCATAGGCATGTTTAAGGGGTTTTAATTCTCTTCGACCGAATTTGGGTATCGTGAGATATTCTGATATATGGGCGGTGACATGTTCGCGCTAGCGAACGAGCGAGGGGTATGTGATTCCCAAGGAAGGGGAGAGGGGTTAACTTTTTTTTTACTTTATTGCATACAATTTAATGAACAACATAAACAAAGAGAGGGGCTACTTTGAAATTTTGCTCTCTTGGTCATTTGAAGACGTCGAAATTAATTATATGATAAAAGGTCTATAAGAACTGGGGAAGACGTAGGGGCAGTTCCCCACCCTTTCTATTAATTTTAATTTGTAAACTTCACAATATTTACATTTCAAATGTCTTTGTCAGAGATGAAATTACAAATAGTTAATGTACTTTATTTTCTACATAAATGTACTGGTTTATCAAAAGGTGCTGTTGAAAAAATCACGTGCAGGGCGGGACAAATAGAGACAAGAAGCTGGGCTTGTAGCACGTGGATTGACAGAATCAAGAGCATGTATAAACACTGTATAAGGGAAAACTGTCAGATTTTTCGAATGCATGACGATGATCAATTGATCTGCTTTCGATAAAAAAAAAAGGGGTGCGAGAAAGTGCATGGTCACAAGATAGCGTTGTTGAAAAAAATACGTCTAAATATATAAGATGCATTTACTCAATATAAGGTTCAAAACACAATTCTTGCGAGAAACAAATAAAGTAAGCTAATGAAAAATACAATAAGGTTATTTTCGAACAGGTTTACCCATAAATTGAAAGGAGTCCCTTTTTGTTATTCAGTCTACAGAATTTGACTTATCCAATTTATAACAATAAAAATCTAGTGACAAAAATATAAACACCATCCACTATTTATTTTCCTTATTAGTACATATACACGGGCATTTTTAAATTAAGAATTAAGAAATATTCTTTTTATAATGTTTTTATTAGTTTTCGAATCGGGATCGGGATCTCACCGATTCAGATTCATTTTCAGATTCGGATTCGATTCATATTCAGAAACATCTCTAATGGTCAGTAGATTCAGATTATTTTATTTACATTGAAGCTCTGGTGTTCTGAACCAGAAACAAACTACATTTTATTATGCAAAATTTCTATTAAACAACAATTAAAAATGCCGAAAACGCTTTTATAGTTTTTTATCTTTGTATTTTTTTCATAGCATTTTTGGCGACTCTTTAACTATCTTATATCGATCATAAATTGACCTGTATTTGAAGTAAAATGTAAACCTGTATATTTGGTGCAAATGTTGCTATTTATTAAAAAAAAAATGGTAAGTTGTGCTTGGAAAGATCTGCTATGCGCATTAATAACAAGAGCCATATAATAAGGCAAACAAAGGTTGGTTAGTGAAGATGATATTATTCATTTTTTTTTCAACCATAGTATCAGGCGATTTTGGATAAATGTCGCTATAAGGCTCCATTTTTGCCGTAAATTATCACAAAAACAAAACTTTTTAAACCCCCTCCCCCCCTCAGAAAGGTATAGAAACACATTTTTCAAAAGAAAAAGACTTTAGCAATTTCCTGTTTTTTGCCAATTAAAAAGAAAATAAAACCGATTCTATCGTATAACCTTTGAACGGATCAACCTAAACCACGTGGCTTGAATTTAAATCACAATTACATTTGTAGGGGGGGGGGCATTGGTGTTCAATAACTTTTGTTGTTAAAGGAGTTTATAATCATAGGCGAAAATACAATGATCCCTAATAAAATGAAGGTTTTAATGGGTTTTGTATTTAAGGTCATACAAAGACTTGCTGGAGGTCAACTGGATGGAGAAATAAATTCCTTACAAGACAAAGACTTAGATCACGCAGCACGGTCCTCTGTTAAACGGAGTTTGGTAGTTTTGACTGAAAAACTTCAAAATGTACAAAAACGCGTAGAGGATCATATTCAAAAACACATAAGAGGTACATATTCAGTTCTCTTAAACCATAAGCATGGTTGAGCATTGAGCTTAAAGTTTTTAGAATTAAAGGGAAAAAAAGAGTTGATTATTATTTCTTTTATGCGTCATTTTGCTTTCACGCCTGCAAATGACGTTGTTTACATTTATAGGGCAAAGATTATTAAATATATTTGAATGCTGTTGTGTGTGTGAGTGTTTGTGTGTGTGTGGGGGGGGTGCATTTGTGTTTGTGTGAGAAGATGTGTAGGTTATTTTTGATGAGAGTGTGTTTATATGAGTATGTGTTTTCAATTCTTAATCGTCCAAAATATTTTTTTAAAATGCAAAAAAAAAGTCAGTCATCGAAGAAAATCTGTCAAAAATACGACGTAGCTATCATTTTTCATTCGCTTTATTAATTTGTTAATAACAGAAATTTGTAAAAAAAAAGTATATTTTGTTTCTATTTCAGAACAATTTCAGAAAAAAATACAAAAGTGGAGAGAGGAGGACAAGCTTTTCGCAAAAGTACCTGCTTATCAGTCAGTTCGTGATAAACTCAGGTCCTTGCCTTTTGTGACAGTGTCGGGCAGTGGTGGTAGAGGAAAAACTTTTCTTATTCGTCATATTGCTCTGGAGCTTGCACACGAGGGATATGAGATCATTCCAGTCTCAGCAATTGAGGAGATCCCCCTATATGGAAAGCTGTATTTCAAGCAATTATTCGTTATAGATGATATCCTAGGTGTATATGGTCTAGATATGAGCTTGTATAACAATCTAAGCAGACAGTCTGAAAATGTGCTAAGCTTATTAGAGTCGGGATCTAAACTACTCATGAGTTGCAGGTCTGTTGTGTTTAAGGAGTCGAAATCTTTAAATAGTTTTGTAACAGATATCAATCATGTCATCGATTTAGATGACGAAGAAAATGAGCTCAGTGATGAAAGCATGAAAAATATATTAGAAAATCACTTACAGAAAAAATACTTTGAAGATTTTAATATACCTAGAAAATTGCCGATGTTTCCACTGCTATGTAGATTATTTTCGACTTATGAAAAGTATCAGTCTGAGGGTGAAAATTTCTTCCTTCATCCATACCAGTGTATATTTTCAGATCTTGATAAAATGCGAAAGCTCAACAAATTACATTATGCAGGCTTGGTGTATTGTGTCATCAAAGATAATTGTGTCTCTCCGAAATCTTTAGATAGAAAGTGTCTGAAAGAAGTCTATGAATGTTGTCGATTAAACAGGTCAACGTCTAATTCAGAACTTGAAGATGCACTGCAGGTATTGGTGGGATCTTATCTGATGCAGAACACAGATGGTAAATATTCTCTCATTCATGACAGCTTGTTCGAAATAGTGGCAGTTCACTTTGGAAGATGTTTTCAAGACTTTTTTATTGAACATTGTACCTCTACCTCTATTTACAACCTTTTAACATTCGTTGATGAGGGGTCAACATGTTGTGAAAATCTTATTCCTGTCTTTGGCAATCACTTTTCCGTGTTGGTAGACCGCATCATTTGTGACATAAAACGATTCAATCTGTATGAAGTGTTCAGCAGAATTGGGCAATTTTCACAAAACGAAGCATTTGTTTCGGTATTTTACAAAACTTTGAAAAAATCCAGTTATGATGAGTTTAAACAATTGTTTTTTGAGGTGGAGACTAATGAACATTTAAATAAGAAAACGAAGAAACTTTTTCATGAATTGGACCAAATATGTGACAACATTTTCGAAGCAAAAAAATTTTCTGCAATAGATTTCAGTCTTTCGCTTTTGAACAAACCTCGTGTACGTGTTGTAGACTGGATTATTGCATATAACCACGTTGGTTTACTGTCTGGTCTCATAAAAATTGTCAGGGAAAAAAGTCAGCCCGTCGAAGAAAAGGCTTGTTTCACTGATGAAAACAGTCAGGACATTCTGGGAGTGATATTTGGTAATGATCTAGAATCACATTCCTTTTGTTTACGTCTCGCGTGTTCTAGCCGCAGTTTGGATATGGTCAAATTTATATTGAGTTGCGTTAAACATGAGAGTATTAATTACCTTGATAATCAGAATCAGTGGCCGTTAATGACAGCTTCTGGTGCTGGTTGTACGGACATTGTCAAGATTCTGCTTAAAGAAGGAGCAAACGTTAATTTGTGTGATAAGGACAACTTTTCGTGCCTGAATTGTTCATGTTTGCTTGGTCAATACGACGTAGCTGAGACCTTAATCAAAGAAGGCGCTGACATTAATTTGTGTACGGTAGATGGGATGTCTCCATTTAAGGCAGCAATGATGTCAGGAAATGTGCATCTTGTGAGGTATCTTATGAAAAACGGCGCAGTCTGGAACGAAGATAACCTGTCCCCGTTGCATTTTTCATCCTATCTAGGCAACCTAGAAATTCTAAAACATTTCATTAACAGTGATCCTGAATTGAAAATTGATGTCAGGTGTCTATCTGCCGCCTGTGAAAATGGTCAGAGTACTATTGTTAAGTATCTAATCGATAAGGTAGATGTCAATGAAGTTTGTGACGAATGTGATCCTGCACTTCATAGTGCTGCTACCTCAGGTCATCTCGCTATTGTAGAATATCTAGTTGAACATGGAGCTGATGTTAATTTGCTCAGTTCTTCTAAAGAGAATCCGCTTTACTTTGCCGCAATGAAAGGACACTTACACATTATTAGGTACCTTTTAGATCATGGTGCTGATATTTGTGGTAGTATTGACACATCGTCTTTATGTGTTGCTTCAGGCGAAGGTTACCTTGAAGTTGTGGAAGAACTAATCAAACGTGGTGCTGATGTTAATCTATGTGACCGCAACGAACAGTCTCCACTATGTTACGCATCTAAATCTGGACATCTGAAGACCGTAAAGTTTCTGCTACAAAATGATGCCGATATCAACGTTGGTGCTAGTTGTTTATCTTCCGCTTGTAAAGGTGGTCATTTAGATGTGGTAGAATTTCTTATTAATAAGGTTAATGTTAACCAGGTTAGTGACATTTGTGATCCTCCCATCCATTGTGCCTCTGGTCAAGGTCATATTGAAGTAATTAAATTTCTAGTTGATCATGAAGCAAATGTTAATTTACTAAATTCTTCAAGGGATAGTCCACTTTGTTGTGCTGTGGAGAATAGACAGCTTTCAGTTGTTGAATATCTTGTAGAACATGGCGCGAACGTAAACCAGGCTATTGATATTGCAATAGAAGTTGGGCAAGAACACATCCTAGATTTTATGCTGAAACATTTGAACTAGGAAACAATTTTTTTAGCATTTAGATTAGTTTGACACAAGAAATGCAGAATTTAATAAAGTCATCATTTATTTCAAATGCTAATGCATTCTCAAGACTATAACTGTTGTCGTTTCCATTTAAATATCAAGAAAAAAGAAAAAAATATATCTCTTATTATTCATTAGATTAATATAGAATCATATTATCTGTACATAACTACATAAAAGATATTCTAATTATGTATAAAGTGAAGCCAGCATCATTTACATAAAAATCTGTGTCTTATTGATTTCTGTATCTTTTTTATTAAATAATTGTATGAATAAATGACTTAGATCGATTATCCTTTTCAAGAATTGAAAATCAAATTAACATTTGAAGAATTAAATACTAGTATCCTTGCATACTTTAATTGCTACAACAAGGCTATCTGTAATGCAATGTATAATGCAGTTTTATGTTGTTCCAGCATCGGCAGTTTTTGATAGTAAAAACATACGTAAAGGATGTCCCAAAATATAAACCATTATATTATTGACATAACGGTCAGAAAGATGTATCTGGGTAACTTTCTTTTAATTTTTTGCAACAAAATATTAGAGTAAAAAAATCTCATGTAGTCACAAAATTGGAGGAAAAAATTGTGAAAAATTGCATTTCAATCAAAAAATTTATTAAAGGATCAAGCTGTCCTTATTTTAAAACTTATTATCAAAACTAGTCTTAATTTAGTGTTACTAAATCCAAATCTAAATCTTTAACATACATGTATTTAATAAATATACTTCTGATGAAAAGACAAGAGTCTCAAGGGCCAAATCGGCTTAGAACAAGCACAAAACAAGAGTTTTATCTCACAAAAAGGCATTTTAGAACATGAAAGTGGTTTGTTTCAGTACTAGTTTATAAAATATATTTAATATTTTATTAATAATGTCAATGTTGTCATACTTAAACTCAGTTTAGATGTTTATGCTAAAAGAATTTTGTGCTTTAAGTATTATAGTGCAATAATGATGGAATACTCATAATGTGTATTTTTGTTTATTCTTTAAAGTTATTTAAGATAGGACCCCATTAGAAATAAGCTCTCGAGCTTTAATGGGTTATCCTGGTATCTATCTAGTCATGTTAAATTATTTATTTATAAAATCCTGATTACCAACTTCCATCTTTTATAAGACCATGCATAATTATGTGTATTTATTTTATGTATGATGACATGATACCAAAAATACTACTACTACTACTACTACTAAATCAGATTAGAACTCAAAATTTTTACTGTTACAGGGGGAGGGGGTATTGTATTTTAATACTACTTAAGAATGCCTTCATATTAATACAGTATATGACTTTGCTGTTCTTGGTAAAAAGATTTTTTTTTAAATTTCTTCCTATATATAACTTCATAATAAGTTGAATCTGATTCCCCAATGTTTCCCTCCCTACCCCCAAAGGACAATGATTTGAATTAAATAAATTTAAATCTTCAATACACGAGGATGCTTACATAAGATGCATTATTATGTTTTTTTTTTTTGATTTAAATACTTGTCAGAATTTCTAAGTCCCCACTTGAAAAGTAAAAAAAACTAGAGCCGAGCTCGTTGCAAAGCAACGAGTAGGTCTTCCGTCCTGTTTGACCGGAAGAAACTTTCATTTAAAAAAAAAAGAGTAATGAAATCAAAAAATGGGTTAATCCTCCAAATCTATGTTAAGTATTGCAAAATTAAGCCATTCTTTGGAACTTCCGGTTTGACCGGAAGTGACGACGACGGACGGAAAATTAATATTTAAGCTTCTAGTGACACATGTTACCCAAAAACCTGTTAAAAAAGGCAAAAATATGCATTTTCTGACTACTTCCGGTTAAACCGGAAGTGACGTCGCCGGACGTATTTTGATGACCTCATTAGATAAAGCTTGATATTTTAAACAACTTTGCTTCTTTGATGTATAACAAATTCTCAATACTTTTTGAGATATCTGGAAAAAACTTTTGGCCCTTCTAAGTCACTTAAATTAGGAGTCAGCCTTTTTTTCGACATATCATTTGAAAGATCTTCTAATTCTGCACAAATTATGTTCTATATATTTTAACAAAATATTTTTAGTTTAGAAGATAAAAAGAAAAATATGAGTAATTTTTGGTTCTTTTAAGCGTTCTAGTTTTTGACCCCTATATAGCGCCATTTTGAATAGAGAAATCGAAAAACAAAAACCGATATGCACAACTTCAATCCTTCTATTATCTGAATTCAGTAGAATTTCTGCTCCAGCTTTAATCGTCTCTGAGCCTTTGTCTGGAAACGAAAGCCTATAAATTTTCCTTTAAAGGGAAAAAACCCAAAACCGGAAGTGACTTTTTGAAATTTAAGACAGCATTCTGATAGAGTTTATCAACGTCCATAACGTCTGAAAATTTGAGCGAAATCCGTTGAGAAATGAGCGAGATATAAGGCCTCAAAGTTGCGGTCTAGGAAGCAGAAGAAAAAAAAAGAATAACTAGAGCAAAGCTCTTTGCAAAGCAACGAGTGGGTCTTCCTTCCTAGCGATAAGCAAAAGATTAAATGTTTCTGTCTAGATTGTCAACTTTGCTAACATTCTCTTTTTCGATTTGTCTCAGAAACCCTTACTTGAATTCTTTAATTTGGTGTGAGCATGAGGTCTAAAGGGTACTCTCTCTAACAGCATTCTTGAAATCGTATCCACAACAGTTTAACTTCCAATATTATGACTTTTGATATCAGATATATCATGTTTGTGAAACGTGTCATACTACAGAAACATAAGTGTTTTGCTACATTACCATCTTAAAAATGGCTTTAAAATCATTTAATTTACAATATAACTAGGTAAATAAAATAAACAAATTATATAATAATTCAAAAAATCCAAATGTATTTACAATAATGATGAACAATCTTCATTAGTTGCAATCAGTTAAGTAGAACAATACTTTTGCAGCTTTCCACTAGCAACTGGTGGTACCTCAATAGGAGTGTAAAATTCTCTGAAAGGTATATTGTAAACATAGTGTAAACATATTACATATGGCTGTGTTTTCTTTTTTAGCGGCTTTGGCGGAATGCAGCAATCACTAAATCAAGTACAAAGCTAAAAGTCTTGTACATAAACATAAATAAGAATATCTACGCTAACTTATTCAAAAGTCAATTTCCACCAAATATTGTACAAGCTTAATATAATACATTTACAGCATTAAAGAAACAAATCTCTTTTAAGGTATTGCCCTGCATAAGAACAATTTGAATCCCCTACACTAAGGATGCTCTGTGCCAAGTTTCACTTTGGTTCTGGAAAATGATATTGTGAAATTTTAGACAATAATGATAATGGATAAAATTATGTTTTTAAAAAAATTACTGGTTCCTTTAGCTCAGATGGGCTAATAAGTATGCAACAGGCACAGTTTTGCAGTTGATATTGAAATGCGACTGGACATCTCTTCAATCTTGTTTTAGAAAACTACATGTACATGCCCTATGTACTGAATTCCTTGGAATCATACACATGTTTATGCCTTTAATTAGTTGTATGTGCCAAAATAACAATTGTTTTTACATTATACTGTAAAAAAAATACACATACATGTATTACAAGATCTTATATTCCTGCTGAAGACAGAGGATCTATCTTAATTATTAGAATAAGTAAGTCTAAACTTTGAAAGGGAAGACCTTAATAAAGAGGTCAACATGCTACACAAACAAAATATTATTATATTTAAAAATAACATTTATTCCAATGTAATTACTGGTACATGTATTTCTGTTACAAAAACTATTTCACTTGAAAAACTGACAGCAATTGATATGTTCATATTTGTGGATTTATTTTGTCAAATCAAAATTTAAAAATGATACACAGTGTGTTTAAAAATTGTCTTCACAAACCAAAACTTGACTTATTTTCACTATGCTGTTTATTCCATGTTACATCCAAACAGATGATCTTCTGGCAAATCATGGTTATGCTTGGTATCAAAATTCAGTATTCAGATGAGTCACACCTATCCAAAAGAAACTGAAATTTTTAAATTTATAATTCTACTAATAAAAAGTGCAATTCATGAGATTATAAATTAGATTATCAAATTGAGAGATAAGATATTGTCACATATTCTGTGTATATTTTGTAAATTTTAATGTACTCTTTCATCAATTAAAAGAAGTTTACACCAATTAAGGCAGTCATTTATGCTATCCCCTTATAAGACAACATACAAGTGCAAAGTAATCATGCACTAGTGGGTTTAGGATAATGTGCTAGAGTATTTATGACAACATACTAGCACGAGGTGACAATGTGCTACATGTAGCATGTACGTCAGTGATAATATGCCAGCACACTGAATCCAACATGCAGTGAAGCTAACACTCAACAGATTGTTTAGAGTTGTGTTTGCATGATATTTTGTTTTGTGTTAACACAGCAGCGTGTTGTTTAAAGCTGCATTGGAGTGGCAGTCTGTTGAAATTAACATGCTAACACACTGCAACTTCACATCATTGGAACACCATAATTTTAAAACTGGCAAACCAATATCTTATGATTACTATAACTAGGTAATTGCAACTGTAAATGCTGATTTCATGGTGACAATAATACCGGTAATTCACTGTATATCTGAGAACTGATCAATTATAATAAGGCGTGTCCAGATAGGGCCACTTGCTAAAGCTCAATAGCACTTTCATAAAAGCGTGCCATCTTACCGACACAACAGACGCCAATAGGCTATCACACAGCTCGCCATCACATCACTGAAAACACTTTCGCACTAACACAAGTTCGCACAACACGCTGTCACACTAACACACAACACACTGTCACGCTAATACAATTTCACACAACAAAATATCAGGCTAACACGAGTTCACACAACACACTATCATGCTAACACGAATTCACAAACACGCTGTCTCGCTAAAACAAGTTCACACAACACGCTGTCTCGCTAACACAAGTTTTACACAACACGCAGTCTCGCTAA